CTTATTTATTTTCAGCCTTACCAATTTATTTTGGTTTTCATTAATTTAACACTTTAATTAAACACAGCACCATGCGGTATCAGCTGCCCTCAGGTTACGCATTGCAACGGATATTGCTGACAGTTGACTCCAATACCTAAATGCAACAAGCATTCAATACAAACAAACAAAGAAACAACAAATCCGACAAAAGTAATTTTCCATCCATGTGGAAATGTACATAATTAATTACAATTATAAAGTTACTGTGCACAGCCTTTGTAAAACGAGACGACTTAATTTTAAAAGTTCGGAACCGTATTTCCACGATGACACTGCAAAGCGAAAAATGTCGAAACACTTAGGCAGGCCCATTTTCTCTCGACAAGAACAGTTCTGTGCGACGTATATGGCAAAATAAAGGTATCTGGGCCTATTTATAGGCTGTTTACATGTACGTTAGAGTACGTAATGCCAAATCACGTCCATTCTTTGTGCAACACCATAAAAGTGTGACGAAATATCACGCGGAAAATAACCTAACCTAACCTGACTTAAAATTTGTTCCATCGTATGTCGGACCGTGACTAATATATATTCCAGATGCAAGTTAGTAAATTTACGAAAAAAATAGAAGAAAAATATTCTTAATTAAGCGTTGACTCTTACAACTAAGGAACAGAATGTAACCGCAAGATGGATGAAATTGCGAAATGAGGTTCTTCTTAATCAGCAATCTTCACCGAATTTTATAAAGATAATCAAGCCGAGGAGAATAACGCTTACAGGACATGTAGCACGCATGAAGGAAATGAGAAACACCTTTAAGACATCTTTTAGCTGGGAAAGCATATCATAGCACTTCGGAGATCTAGGCATAAATTAGAGAATAATATTAAAATGTATTTGAAATAAATATGGTACGAAGGGATGGGCTGGATTAGTCTTACTCAATATAAAGTCACGTGGCGGAGCCTAATGAACACGGTTCCATAAAATGGTGGAGACAAACTAAGCGACTATCAGCTTGTCACAAAAGATATTTTTACCATGGAACTTGTTAGATTCGACTCCTGAAGCAATGATTCTCATAAAATATGACAACAGATGATTTACTGTCAAGACACGATTCTTATATATTGACTATCATCTCATGCGACGTTTCGGGAGTTGAGTACGCCTAAGGGCCAACTGTTGTGTTAATGCACCTAATAAGTTTCCATTATAGTGTACTAAAAGTTTGTTTTACTTACATCTGAAATAAAATAAGCATTAGCAAAATACACCGTCAGTAAACTATCACCTTAAGAGCGAAGCAGGGCCCACTCCTAAAAATTCACGTGCCCTAGGTGAGCCAAGAGCCGAACCTCGGAAGGCCAGAAATCCACCGATGCACATGCAGGAAGTTAATGCCTTTAGAAATTTGGTTCAAGATTGCAGGAAGTGACACGGGTCACGTACATCTTTCATCTCGTGTTCGCTTCTCCGGGAACCGTGACTCGTGCGATGATCTGCACGGTCTACCATTTTCTCTTCACCAGATCCCACAACAACAATAGCACGTGTTCTTGCGGAAAGATGACTCGCGGAAACACAATCGACCTTCGAGAACTTTAATCTCGCGAACAGGCCTGTAGGCCGATAGGCCTGCAGTGAGTACACAGGCGGAATGATCCTGAAATTATGTTGTAAGGGTTTTATGCCTCACTGGGAGATCACGTTCGTTCGCTTTTTGTTTCTATTATAGTTTTTTATTTGCTTTATTTTGCGAGACTCTGCAAATTGTCGAGGTTATGTAATATCTAAAGAAACGACTATAAGTAATTGAACAACTAATCTCATTATGGGTATCATTACCGTTCTTTATAAACTACACCAGCATTTATCTGAATGAATTAAGTAAAATGACAAACATTTCATTCACGACAGCCGGATCTAGCCAGGATTTAGACCCGGTCGATCCCGATTGAAAATCAGTATTAGACCTACAGACGAAATAGGAAGAAAGAACAGTTATTATTTGTTATATTTTCCTTATATGATTCACATTCAAAGATACCAACACATTTATTTATTCCACACATAATCCGGTAACCCACTACCGCAAGCATAAGAATTCATTAGCTCGGTTTTATTATTACATCTCAGGCCTACATGCTAATGATACTGTGCACCCTTTCGTCTGCTTCTGCATAACTACTGAATGAACTGGCAGATTCTCACAAAATATGGTATAAACATCATGCCACTAGTCGCGAACCCATATTCACAGATTTAACTGCCGCCAACAGAACGACATAACCACCATGCAAACCACTGAGGTGGGAGAGACATCAACGCTTTTTATATGTAATATTGTAAAATTGTCTATAGTATCACACGTTTTGAAAATTTTAACGTGTAGACTAGTCGTTTACTGTGAAGTAGTACCAACATTACGACAGTGAGAAATCTTAATAATCTTCGATTCTGATGACGAGACAGGCCCATGATGGATTAAAGGAGTGAGACTTGTCAAATTTCGTATCGAGACAGGAACAAATACGTAATACAATATCGGCAACAATAAATGAAGTCAAAATCTGTTGGTGTACTCAGAACTGGAGCAAATATGTTTTCCAAATGTGCTACTAACTGGACTTGGTGTTACATCATTGTCGGTATAAGCCACATGTTTCAAAGCTGTTAAGAAAAGCCTAATTTTCGTTGTTTTTCGTTAGGTATTTAGGCCTATCGAAAAATGTCAAACAAAATTTGTGCATCATAATGGGATATAGGATCCCTAAACCTTTAACGTGTTTCTATTGCGTCGTAACTACACACAGCAGTCATACACAATGGTGCTCCATTTAATTTATATTTTTCCATAATTTTGACATATAAAGTTTTAATTACAAACAATAATCGAGTTGTTAAAAATACCTTTGAATAAAGTTAACAAATAGGCATCTAAATAGGATGAGGCGATTTAACCCTCTGACGCAAGAAATTAATCTAAACAAGCTAATATTTTAAAATTCAGTTGCAACCTCGATGAAAACACATTACAAAGATCAAATGGTTAACGCTGTTTAATGGAATAATCCATAGGATAAATAAGCATGTACTTTGTGGTAATACATGAATCTTCAGTAAGTTATTAATATCGGCTGAAATGTTTATAAGACACCCGCTATGTATGAGAAAATATTGCCATTAGGAGTTGTTAAATCCATTAAAATTCGCGCAAAATTAAACTAAATTATTCCCTTATAATCTGAAAATCACTTATAGATCTACATAATATAATATTAACAACAGGCCATGCAGATATTAAAATCTCATGCAATTATGTTTCCAAAATGTAAAAGTTTAACACACAAAACTGTCCACAGAATATTTCTCAGATTGTCAAGCATTCTGAACAGCAAATTTTCCAGATTGAGGAGCGTTACTTTGAACTTTTAACCCAGGCTTCTGTGTTTTCCTCAGCCATCACGGTTATTTATTATTTTGCTGTCTGATGTAAATAGACAGCCTATTTATTACTATACTGCAAAGATTATAATAGGCCTACATCTCTCTGCACCTCTCAGTAGGGAAAATCAAGTACATATCAGTTTCCGAAAAATTTATATTTTTCTTCGAATAGGTCTAGCCTACCTATAATATAAGTTTATACACTTATCTAATTTAATTTAATTTAAGAGCAAATTACTGCCGAAGCCAATGATATTTCTCAATGGCTCAAATGACGGGACTTCAGAATGAAAACAGGATTTAGTTACGCTTATGACTTCAATTTAGGTATATTTTTTATGTGTTTGATTTAGCCCAGGGGTGGGGAAGCTGCGGCTTTAAGGCCACATGTGGCCTTCTAGGTCCTTAAGTGCGGCCTTTTGACTGAATCCAAATTTTACAGAACAAATCCCTTTATTTTTATTAATACATTTTTCAAGACGCCCTTAAGGTCACAAATGACGGATACCCATCTAGAGGATCAACTGAAACTGCGGACCTCCATGCTGCAACCAAACATTCAAATTGTTTCCAACAAAAAGCAGACACAACAAAGTCATTAAAAGATTAGTTAACTTTAAAATTAACAAATAGTTTTCATTTTTTGAAATTATTAAATACATAGTAGTTGGATTTTCACAAAATAATATACATTTTTAAGTATATCTAATTGAAGTGTCTTGAATGCGGCCTTATTTGATTACAGCTAAATTAATGCGGCCTTCCAACATGAAAAGGTTCCCCACCCCTGATTTAGCTTATTTATCTGCTTATTTCTTTTGGCTCAATAGTTTCCTTCCTTTTCTTTTTGGTATCCGGATAATTCAAATAGAAAGTAATCGAATAAACGCTGTGGTCTATTAATGATTTGTGATTATTGCACGACGTTTATAAACAGCAGAGATCAAATACAAATGATGATTGTGAAGGATGAACTGGAATTTAAACAATCTTGAATAATTTTGGAGGTTATATTCCGTGATTTTATGGTAACTGCAGAAAGCGTCATTTACAATGTTCAGTCTGCAGACCGATAGACCCATTGTATTCCAGTGTGTCAAAAATGAAACCAATTGTGCAAACTTCAAATAAATCTGTATGGTTCAATAAGAAGTAGGCTTACAGCAATACGAATTAAAATACTACTCGAATTTCCAGAGTATCAAAATAAAAACTTACGAGATTTCAGGTTCTCACGTCGGTAAATACGAAGCTGCTGTCTTCTGGGTTATTACGCCGTGTAATCTGGTAAGTCAGGTTGATCGACTTTTCAGAGGAGCTTGCTGCCTCCGATGATGTTGGCAGTAATCACCTCTGAAACGTCGGTAAAATTAGACGAGACTACACAGCGCAATCCAGAAGCCAGGAACTCATGTCCTCTAGGAGGGAAGCCTATGGAGAGGTAGGCCTAAGCACGACGGCCTGACCTACCTTCAGCGTCGCAGAACCGTGAGAACTGAGGAGCCGCAGTGTCTACGATCTAGTGCAAGCAATATAATAATATAATAAAGAGAACAACATGCCCTGGCTCGAGGAGAGGACTCTGATTCTGTTTGTACGGGACACACAGATCCGCCGGTACGAACCAGGAGTGCGTGAAGGCCGGGTTCATGTTGAGAGCCGCAGCAGCAGCAGCTGCACCTGCGACACCTGCCGGACTCTGTCGCTGGAACGACGACGTAACGGCATAGTCCATCGCCACCGCCTGGTATGGCAGCATGATGCAACACACTACACTTCACTCAAACAGCACAAAGACTGTCTGCCACTACTGCAGTCATTCGGACGAGTGTTCGGCGTGGCCACTGCACGAAGAACCGATGACACACACAGGAAATTAACGCACAATCTGCTGGGTTATTTTTTCCTTCCCGAATTAAAGTACCTCGTAGCTGTTCATCAGAACTGTAAAGGATGTATATTTGATGCCCAATCTAAATAAACCTGATTATCTTATTCCACTTTTTGATTATTTTTTTTTAATTTTCTTGATTTAATTATGTACATTTCTGTACGTTTTTCATTTTTCACATAAGCTGCTTCATCTATACCCTTCTTAAAGGAATGTAATTATCCGTATGCTTCACAGAATAGTATTATCAGAACACAAAGCACTGCGTCCGATGACAGTAATTACACTTTCAATTTAAAAGTCTTCTTTTCAGTTTCGTATCTTTATTATGATAACTTAACAGTGTTCTTCAGCTAAGATTTCCATCTGTGTCACCTGAGGACGTCCCAATGAGGTTGGAAGCTCTGATTATCAGATGCTACAGCGTCACTGGCAATAACAGCAAATAATATTGGTATGCCTGAACACACCAACTGCGCTGTTCTGAGAGCCGATAGCAAGCCTCTGGCTTTGTTGGAGCGCGAACAAGCATCAAACAACAAAATGAATCAATATTCACTGACATTTATCACATAACATAAAGTAAGCTAGTATTTGAGAAAGTAGCTCATATCAATTGGTTGTCCCATAAGCGATGCACTGCACACTCCAATTCAAGCTTCATGTATGCTATGAGTATTCCTTTATATTTGATTTCAATTCTGTTCCTTAGTCGCTGACTGGAGAAGAAAAATAACTTTGGCACTTTTTAGGCCTATTTTAAAATCATTGCACATTTGAATGCGGGCCTGTATAATGTCTCCGTAAAATTATTGTTCACTTTTGAAAGTCAGATATTCTTGACAGCTCATCCATGCAGTTCAGAATAAGACAGTCGGTTAATATTTCAACTATTTTAAGGAGAGAAAGGTGTACCAAAAATAAATATGACATTTAAAAGATGAGGCCTGTCTTTGTTAATTTACTTTAAAACCTGTTTATTTTGAAGACAGTCCCTCGTACAACTTCAACACGCCTGCATTCGTCTACTTCAACTGCCCTCTGCGTCGCTCCGACTTGAACTTCAAAATGAGGTATTTTTCTGTCACAAGATGGCGGGACCAAATTCTGTGTTATATATTACAATTAAACCGTGAACAGAACAGATTATCACACTCTGACACATTAAACGCCGACTTCATTTTGCTGTTATGAAGCTAACTACACGAAATTCAGAATACGCCTAGTGGCATCTCTGCACAATTTTGTAACCACTTCATTTGAAAAGTCTTTCAATTTCCTGGAAACGTATAAATGTGTGGCCTAGTTTAAAATAATAATATAAAAACAGATGACACATAACTGGCACAAACACACGCACACGTTCCTGAGAATGTGCCAGATCCCTACGAAACACTAGGCTTAGATAGGCGATTGACTGGACAAGTGAAGAGGAGGCCTTTGAAAAATGTTATTCTGAAATAATCGTCACTTCTCACTGCTGACTGCATTGTTTTAACAATTCGTAAAGCGTTGATATGAGAACAGATGTTACTTCATCCACGTCTGACGTAAACGATCGAATGTTCATGTTGTTGTGACGTAAATCATAAAAATTCAGTGGTGATATTCAACTCGAATGGTCATCAATACCCGGGTCCATGGTGAGGACAGTTCTCTGTAGGTGCCATATTACCCAGCGTCCTACTGAAAGGCGACGGGGCTCGAAAGGAAGACGGAGGGGGTGGGTGACTCGGTTGGGTGGGGGTTGGAGAAATTTGTCACAGGAGAGTCAACGTCCCGTGAGAGCTAGAAATCTCACCAAGACAAGAAGACTTTTTATGAATGGACACAGTCAAGACAACGTGGACTGGGTCTTCAAGTAACGCATAATAAGCCACTCTATAAGAAAAAGCACGTTCTGGGGGAAGATTATCAACTTCAGTTATCAAACCACAAACAAGGAAAGGGCACGATTTCGGAGACGGGACGATGCTATAAACGTGGAACAGGTTGGTTCGTAGGGAAAACCAACACAAAACCACCGTCTGATGCACTGGGAGTTTACCGCTTTGAAGCCAATTAGTGAAACGTCTTCTGTCTGTCAGTAGAGCATTACAAAGGTCAAATTCGCTTCCCATACAGACATCTCAACTGATGCTTCGATACTTCACTTTCTTCTCTCTCTAGAACAGACACAGTTGCATCAAAGATGTTAAACATTTTTCCAAACTCTTTGCAAGGCGACACCAATCATTTTTAAGAATAACCTGAACATACAGTCTCCATCAACAATCAGCATTACACTCTCGTTCTAAAAACGCACTCAGAGATTGGTGTTGTGTTCCCTAAACACTGATCACAGAAGTTTCGGACGCATGCATTTGGTTCCACAACGACACGAACACTAACACACTAACACCGCCACTAAGAAAATAATCAGGGAACCACTAAAACACAATACATGGATCGTTGGTGAGGGGAGGGAGGGGGCGATCGGGAGGTTACATTTGTATAGCCTTAATATAAAAAGACGAATTCTTCACCAAAAAGGGCATCGTCGGCTATGTTCGTGTGTCTTCGCACAAGCCAAAGCCACTGCTGGAGTTGAAGAGGCGGTTCTAAAGCAGGACACTGGAGGGCTGGACCCGGCGCGGAGTTTGACTGACGGTGGAACCTCCCTCCAGCCACTGGTTGGTCGTCGTCTACCTGGCGACTCGCCACGTGGTGCGATGAGGACCCGCCTCTCCCGACACCAATCTGCGTGCGTCAATCACTGGCGACGTGCCATTTCGCACAGGTGATAATCATTGTTAAGGAATATCGTCTTTGGCGAGGAAATTTATGGGCGAGATTTTGGGTTCTCACGGCCACCACCTACGGTTTCTAGGACATGAAGCGATGTGGCCTACTTTGGTAGATGCTGACTGATGTCTCAGAGATTCTTACTACCTCGATCAGAGATGGTTACAATCATCAGGACAGTTGCTCTGATAATGAAGACAGAAAGCACGTCTGAAATATCGGTCAATATATTTCAGACTACACGGCACAGCAACCCAGAAGAGACATCTTCAAACCAGTAGCCGTGAGAACCTGAAATCTCACTTAGGATCTCACATTGTCTATCACCACTTTATTTCAACTCACAGTTAACCCTTTAAAACCTAGTGGTAACAATACTTACCACTCAATTTAACGACTAATAACCATGCAGTTCCCCACATTAATTATTTCCCATGATTTTCGGAACAAATACTGGTTACTTCCTTAAACAGCATTAACTAATTGATCTCCGTAATTGAGAAGTGTTTTCTTTGAGGTAAGCGCACGTTAAGCTCTTAGCATTCTTCAAATATTCAACCGTTGTCATTACAATCTTTAAATTTTGATATAACCTCAAAAATGATAACCATTCACCTGAAGATGGGGGAAGAGCCCCAAGTACCGAAACGTCGAACAGTGGACAATGTCGCCCAAATTAGCGTATTCTCACAATCACAATGTTGTGCCCAGGCTAATATTAACAAATTGTTTGTGTCATTTAGTAAAATTAAAATTAACTCTACAGGCCCTTTCTTAATCCTGAGCATCTAAGAAGCTAAGGATACTTATGTTAATCAAAATTGTGGACAGACTTCCTCCAAAGCCCTTTCAGCTTCATATCCAGTGGGTACAGAGAAAATTTCCCTAAAATTAAAGGTGGCCAGAGCGTGGAACTGGCCACTCACCTCTGTCTACTACGGTGACTAACAATAAGTGGAATTCTACATTCAACATACATCACGACGCAGTTATTAGGTACAAAGACAATTTTGAAATGCTCTACATTTCGCTACATCCTATTAACCCATTCATTCATTCATTCATTCGTCGGTTACGTTCTATTATTAACAGGCCAACACAGTAACGGAAACCAGAACGAAAGATTTAAGAAGACTTAAAGTGGATAAGCGAGTAATAAACCATGACAGATGACTCAATCACCTCTAGATTTGTTAATAATCATTCCCCTTGGGGCATAGCGAATTATGAGCTTCAAGCTGGTTCCCAGGCATGTTAAAAACTTCCGTTTATTGATGGTGATAATGGATAACCTAACACAATAAGACAATTCATTGTTTGCTTTCCTCTTCAGTATTTTGATAAGGTTTCATTTCGATTCACTGTTTTTTTATTACGTATTGTTAGTTGACGATGACTAATCGGCTCTAACAACGAAACTAGTTTTTCATTGTTCTGCGTGTTATAGTGCAACTGTAACACCGAAATGTGGTCAATCTGAGGTTTATTTAGTTACCAAAGGAAATAAAGAGCAAACGAATCACTCTTGTTGTCCAATTGTTTCTGGAAGGTTAATTCTCCGTTGGCAATAGAATCAACATGTTGATTGGGTATAAAACACAATAGCCCTATACCAAATCCAACTAACAACCATTCCAATTTCTTACGAAAGTCTTTCCTTCTTGCTTCTAATTGGAATATCTTAATTCGTATCTTTATCCGGGTGATCTGCTTGGCCATCTTTTAAGAAAATCCTTGACGGTCCTAAGCAATTTGTTTTCCTGAAATCGCATGTAGGACTATAAATTCCTTGTAAACAACCTTCTTATAATTTTTTGTGGTAGCAATTAAATGAGTTCTGAAATGAAACAGAAAGCCAGCCAAAATGAAAGAAAGCTACTGAAGGGCCTACTTACGTTAAAGACCCGATTCTGCGTATAAATTTGTTTCTTGCCACCCACAGGACCAGAACCTAAACATCTACATCCTTACTGGAAGGCCTGCCAACAGCATCTGTTTCTTCATAGCTAAGCCGAAGGGCAATGTCTTTGAAGTACAGTAAAAGAATACATAAAAAAATCCGACGTCACACCATAAGATCTCAGGTTCTCACGGCTATAAGTATAAAGATGACTGTCTTCTGATATGTTGCACAGTGTAGTCTGGTGTAAGTCTGCCGACGTTTCAGAGGTTATTCCTGCCTCCATCATCAGGACGATGACTCGTGGCACTGCGCTGCGTCATTTTCATCTACGTATCAGTCTATAAATAAAGTCACTCAAACGAGTCACTTCTTTTGAGTCACTCGACAATTTATGACATGATCAAATTAACCCATCAGTTTATTGTTTGGAAATTTCTTGTCATATTTTAAATTAACTCAAACTGTTAAAAGTCTGGGTAATTCTATGTTACATCTAGGACTTTATTAGGAGGCCGGAATTTCTGCTATAGGAAGGCAATGTCAGAAGTTCCTATGCCAGAATTCTTCGAGGGAAATGCAGTCTGATAGGGGTTGACCATTCCACCCTTACCGGGTTAAATCACCAGAGCGAGTTACAGAAGGGGTCGGAGGGTTCATTGTACACAATCCTATCTCTATTAGTGGAACTCCTTCATTTGGCGCTGCAGTATGGAGTTACAACCATCATCTAAGGAAGAGGGGGTGGACTTCTAAAGGGGAGGAAATTAGGTCGAGGGAGATGGAGGGTGGATAAGGTGGTAAGCCTGTGTGCATAAATGATATTGTGTACGGAGTTAGAGAATCGACACGGAAATTACGTTGGTTTATTATTCATCCAGACGCGACAATCCCCAAAGCAGGCACATCACGTCAACCCAAAGACAGTTCTTAGGAATTTGCGTTATTGTTAGCAGTTCGGAGGAAGATTATTATAATTTGGTTCAAAACTCTTAATTTTCTGTGTTTGAAAGCAAACGTAACGAGAGACTAAAATACACATACACAGGACCTATCAATTGGTATGTTCAAATCAGTGTAGGCGAGACAGAAAGGTAATCAGTGATCACGAAGATGAGAAATTTCACAATATTTGAGTAGGAAGACTTAAAGAGAAGATATAAGTCCGAAGATCTAGGCTTATGTAAGAGGTAAAATTAAAATTTATCTTATATAGATATATAATGCGATGCTATTGAATGGATTTAACTAGCTTTGGAGAGGGTTTAGAGAATGGCGGGATCATATGAAAACGGTAATGAAACTTCTGGTTTTATAAAGTAAGAGGAAATTTCTTCGTCTCCTGGGTTACTAGCACTTTCTCAAAAGGGGCAGTGCTCCGTATCTCTAAACGTGGCGTGTTATCTTTTTCGACAACAAACTATATCTATAGACCTGTAACGCTTAAATAATCTGCCAAAGGAATGAGAATGTCACTGAAAAACATACAGCACCATTACCAAGTTAAAAAAAAAGGTTCGGAAGGGACTCCTCTTGGATGGTCCACTTTGTGAAGTGGAACCATTACTTACAATTACTTTCCATAATGAAACCAAGTCATATCCGGGTGGCGAACCGTAATGTTCCTACCATGTGTGTACATTCAGTACTTCTTATTATAGAAGGCGCCTACTTCCCCAGTGACGTCACCGATTTTAGATAGGTGTAACTACACCAGTGACAACAAAACAATGGGACAGTAACTTCCTCTAATGGCTTCCTCGGACCAAGTCAGCCAACAGGGTGACTGTAATATCGCATCTTTAAAGTAGCTTTAAGAATGCAGCAGTTTTCTTCCACAAAGTATTTTGTTTCCTCCCCGCTGACACTCATTCCATCACTGATCCATACTCATCTATCAACGCCCCACGAAGTGTGCAATAGCCCTGACCAAGCAGAACATTATCATACAAGTTATGGCTTCATTTCTGACCCGAAATTTGGTTGGGCTAGGAGTAAAGGCAGTTTGGTTTAAGGGGAATGTCGTGTGGGTTGTAGACCACACGGCGCTACTTCCCAGAAGACAGCCAGCCATCTTCATACTCACCTCCGTGAAAACCTAAAATCTTATCAAGCGTGGTTTAGTTTCGCTTACAACGGACTACATTCAACTCCAGACGAAAGATGGGTAGTAGGCTGTCTTCTAACAGACCATGACAGACTTCTATCAACATTCAGTGAAACCCCCTTGAGCCTATCTTGAAACTAAATCATAAAACAGTCTTCTGGCTGGTAAAAGTTTAAGTAGGTGGCAATCGATTCGCGGAAATTCCAGAACGGACTTATGGAACAGACTGTAGTGTCCTCGTGGAGACCATACGCACGTCGCATGACACAATACTGACAAGTGATTCACACAAAGAAGGCGTCAATCCTACTTGATACCTGAATCGGCAGCCGCGTTGCATTATGATGATATTGTGCAATAAAATTATTATTGCCAGGAACAAAATATTTGATGCCCACACTCAGGCTTGACCTGTGATCCCAAAAGGGTCTGGAGTAAAGCGACAAGCCAATGACCTCTTTGTTACTCTACTGAAGATATTCAAATTTAAGCACCAACAGAGTCTTCAACACAGATTAA